ACAAATGGTCCTGAAGATGGAGCTCCAGACACACTGACTGCCAGAATTTACCACAGCCCTCCAGCCTAGCCCCAGCAGGCTCCTTATAAAAGCCTCCCCTCTCACGGACCAGTTCCCCCAAGAAAACTCCCCATTGATATGAGATTCCCCTCTGTACTCTGTGAATAACACTGGTTAATAAAGGACTGCTTTGGACCCATAGCAGGGCAGAACTTAGCTAGGCAGGGAAAACTGAGCTGAATGCTGGGAGAAAGAAGGCAGAGTCAGAGAGAAACCATGCTGCCCAGCAGGAGATAGACATGGGAACTTTATCCAGCAAGCCACAGCCTCATGGGGATACACAGATTAATGGAGATGGGTTAAATTAATATGTAAGAGTTAGCCAATAAGAAGCTAATGGGTCAAGCAGTGATTTAAATAATTTAAATAATAAGGTTTCTGTGTGATTATTTCAGGGCTGAGCAGCCGGGAACAAAACAAGCGGCCTCCCTACAACGCCCCATGGCTAAATGTAACAGCTAGAACTTTCATTCCCCAGTCTGGCAGAAGTTGGTCAATCTCTGGGCAGGGGCATGAAGCAGTTAGAGGGACATCATCGGTAGATAAGGAAAATGAAAGCAAGCTTCGTGAGATGCCTGTTTCTTAGTCCCAGGAAACATCTCAAGGTGAAACAGTGGAAAGGCATGGAGGCAGGTATCTATCTAAACAGCACAGGGGAGGATTCAGGGGCCCTATAAAATACCCAACCCATCACCAGGTTGTGGGACTTCCAGCATGAGGCTTCTTACATCCTGGATATAGGAAGTTGTTAGTTTTCTCTGTGGCTTGGTCTTCTGTCTTCCCCAATTGCTAGAGTCTTTGTGCCAGGGAATGCATTGGCGATCTCCCAGACAACTGCCATAACCCCTGTTACAACTGGATTTTAGATCCACAGAAGTGTAACTTAAATGTAAATTCCATCTTAAAATTTAACAGCTAGATGGGTGTTTGCTTCCCTGTTCTATAATATTTAAATTGACTTGGCTATTCTGGAGTTGGGAAGCACTTCATTACATAAAATGGATAGGTGATCTCTAGATGATGTCTTACAAAATATCCGGGCACTCCAGCCTAGCAAAATTGATATAAAATTAACCCTGATGCTAACCTTTGCAATAGCTTACTCCTTCTCTGCATTGATGCAAGGGCTATAACGTATTTAATTTTACCTTATAGTTCTATGATGTAGTCTCATGTACTGTGCACTGCCAGCCCACAAATAACAACATGGAGACCTAAAAATTATAAAAGCCTGGCCTTAGCTTAGGTATGTCCTACTAGCTCTTGTAACTTAAATTAACCCTTTTATATTAATCTACATCTTGCCGCGTGGCATTACCTTATCTCTGTTCTGCACATCCTGCTTCCTCTGAGTCTAGTTGGCAACTCTGCTTTTCTTCTTCCTAAAGTTTTCTCTCTGCCTGGAAGTCCCACCTGTACCTCCTGCCTAGCTGTTGGCCATTCAACTTTTTCTTTCTCCAATCACAGCGATACATCTTCACACAAGTGTTCAAATATCCCACAACAGTTAGCCTCATTATATTAGACAAAGAACAGAAAGGCTAAGCAACTTGCCTGAGGTTATTCTGCTTGTAGATAGTTCACACTGGAACTTTCAGACTAACTACTAAATATTGTACTATTCCCTTCTCAAAAGGATAAAAACTGAAGCCATTGGCTCTTTGTGTTCTGACTCTCCTTGTAAACGTCCTTGACCCACCAGTGATGTCAGTATCATGTATCAACTTTTGCACCTCCCACAGTAGCCCTTGATACAGTCAGCCTCACCCTGATTGTCCAGTTGAGAAGGTTTTTTTGACACGCTGAGAAGGAATTATTGGCTGCAGCCCTCAGTGTGGAACAGAGATGATTTGAATCCTGACTCGGTCTCTAAAGCTCATTTCTTTCGCCTCTCTGTGTATGGTTATTGATGCCAAATATTGTAAACATGTCCCTGCTAATATTTTGTCTTATAGATCCTGAATTAGTTTAGTCAAAGTTGTGTCCCTCCCATTAAATAGCTCATACAAAGAGTGTGGACGTTTCAGGCCACTTGATGCCTCTGGAAAGAATATCCAATGCAAAGAATGGCAGGGAGGAGAAGAGGAAGGAGAAAGAGAGAGAGAGAGAGAGAGAGAGAGAGAGACATCAGTTCTCACCCTGTGGGTTGTTACCCTCTGGAGATCTAATGACCTTTCATAGGGGTTACTTAAGACCCTCTGAAAACATAGATGTTTACATTACAATTCATAATAGCAGCAAATTTAGAATAAGCAATTGGGTTCAGTTAGAGCAGACTATAAACCACTCCTGTAAGGTAAGTTTGACCAGATTTGCCTTCTAGCAAGTTCTTTCCTTAGAAAAGGAGATTCAATCCACAAATGAGTGACTTTGCAATTGGCCTGTTACACTGGAGTTAGGTAAAGTTACCTTTAGCCTGTTTTGAAGTGACTGATGTAAAAAGCCTTACGCCAGGATGCTGTTTCCCAATGGAGTCCAGGAGAAGGCAGAGTGTACTGTGAGCTTACTACAGATAAGGGTCATAGTGACCTAACCTTTGCTTCTTCCTCCTAAATTTTGTGATAAGGTTCTTATGTCAGAAGAGATATAGTCTGTTCAGGAGTTCCTATGGAGAAAAAGATCCTGGGTGTGCGCTTGCACACAAAAATGCTCTCCCTTTCCTTTTTATTCTTAAAAATACCAATAAAAAAAAACCAGTTCTCAAGAGATAAAAAGGTCTGCTGAGACCACAGATTGATAAAGGCCACCTTAATACCTGTTCACACAGTGCACAATCATCAGCCCCCAAAACAGAACAGACAACAATCACCAGAGAATCTATAAAAGAAAAGCCACGTTGTGTCAAGGCTTCAGAATGAGATGCTACTTCTGCAGCACTGTAGGGAGCACATCAAGGATGCTCCACGGAGAAGGGCACTGGGGCGCACTGCACACTGAGTGTGAGTTCAGGGTCATCCCACTTGCCTCTTGTAAGAGAGTATGTGATACAGCAGTTGAAAACATGGCTATGAGGGGACCTTGCCTGTTTAAGTGCCAGTTTGACCACTCGCAAATGGTCTCAGGTCACTTTCTCAGTCTCTTCCCCCAGTTTCCACAGTCACAAATACAAATGATAGCAATTATTTTTCTTTCTGTTTTAAAAAAAAAAGGTTTATTTTGTTATTTTTAATTGTGTCTATGGGTGTGGTCTGTGTGAAGGTATGTGCACATGAACTGGTGCCCTGGGGAGCCAGAAGCATTGGACCCCCTGGAATTACAGATCATAACTGCCCCACAAAAACACATAGATACTGGGAATCAAACCAGGATGTTCTGAAAGAGTCGTATGTGCTCTTAAGTGCTGAGCCATCTCCAGCCCGCTTTCTGGTACTAGGGATGGAACTCAAGGCCCTGTGTACCATAGACACTAACTACAATAGCTCCAAACTGAAAACTACTTCAACATCACACAGGGCTGGACCCCATCATAAAAACAAATGCATCAATTATGATAAAACTGAAAAATACGAAGATCTGAAACTGTACAGCAACATGAAAGAATCTTACAAGTAAACTGTTGAACCAGAGCAGTCAAACAAAAGGAGAATGCATAGGTTATGGTTTGATTCTACATATTAAGTGTATAAACAAAATTAATCTACTATGTTAGAAGTCAGCATAGAGGTTGCTTCTGGAAGCAAGCAGCAACTGCTTGGCAGGGTGAAGGGCTCCTAAGTGTTAATAACATCATATCTTTATCTGGTGCGATATACAAAGACAGGCTGCACATTGTGAGGATCCCCAAGCCACATTCAATATGCATCTTTTCTGTATGTATGCTAGATCCACTACCAAGTTCAATAGCTTTATGAAAATTGACTCTCTCCCCAACATAATCCTCAAGTCATTATTAGAGTTTGTGAGTCTACATAGACCAATGTTAAATGTACCCGATCTCCAGATGCTCTTGGACCAGGAGGCACAACTAGGCAACACAACTTAATCATTAATTTTAATAATATCTTAATTAAAACTTTTATTTTACAGTATATTTTGAGCATATTCTTTCCCCTCCTACAGTTCCTTTCAGATCCTCCCCACTCCCTTACCCACCCAACTTCATGAGCTCTCCCCCCCCAAAAAAAACACAAAAAGAACCTAATTAAGACTAAAAATATCAAAACAAAATGTGTACACAAGAAAACAGGGAGTCTGTTTTGTATTGGCCAATACTCCTGTGCCTGTGACTTGCCCTAGAATGTGGTGTTACAGCCCTAGTTCAGTGGAACTCCGCGCCCTGTGTAAAAATCCGCTCCCAGCGTTCTCATTCCACACCTCAGCTGTTCCCTCTCTTGACATGATTTATTTTTTACTCGTTTGTTTATTTGTTGGCTTGCTTCCACTTCGGTACTTGGCCGAAGATTCTAAGAGCTGTTATCTGACTATCCGAATCAGTTAAGACCTCCAGATCCTAGGCAATGCTTCTTTCACAAAGATGAAAACCCTTTGGCAGGCAGGACAGTTTCAAGCCATCCCAAAATGTCTGTTAGTGCAGCCCGAAGAACAGTGCTCTGTGATTTGTCAAAGAACTTGCAAGAAAACTGGAAGATGTACGAGCGCTATACACAAGCCAAAGCGTGGCTGTTCCGTTCTCGATTTCTTGGGTCATAGCCAAGATATCTCTGGCCTAAGCAACCAACAACACTCCCGGGCACCTCTGATCCAAGCCACCTCGGGAGGGCGGGGCGCCACGTCGAGCAGCTACTGGTCCAATTTGCCGTCGCTCTGTTACACTCAGTTGGCAATCAGAGAGGTCAAATTACCCGTGCAGGAGGCTCGATCCCATCTAGATCTATGATTGGCTGAGATTGAGGGCAGGCACCGAGACTTGCCGAGCATCAGCTGGTCGGAGTTGTTGTCAATCATCGGGAGCAGACTCCTCCCGGTCTCCATTTGGCCAGCGGCAGAAAAAAATTTTCGAGCATTTCCAGAGAGGAGATTGTGGCCTCCCTAATTGCTAGCTCTGGAGATTCGCATCAACAAGAGAAGTCAGCCTTATTTATCAACCTTCTCTTTACTTCCATTAGCTAGTTAAGAAATTTACAGACACAACCATCACAAGGTAAGCGCTTGAATAGTTCAATTCGCTCATTCCCCTAGGTTGTTGACGGGAATCTCTTGGCGGTCCTCGGAATGGAGCGTTCCTCAGGAAGGCGGAGAAATATGGGATGGGTTACTGCAGCTTCCTCGGCCTCGTTTTGAGGCCCAGCCCCATGCGCATCACCCCGGGCTCTGTGTGCCGGGTGGTGGGCAACTGTTCCCGCCGAGGCCCACCGAGGCTGCACCCGGGCATCCGGCTCTTCGGTTGCTGCAATCGGCCTTGAACTTGACCTCAGGCGGGAAGTGTGCGTCGTGGGAGCGGGGCTAGTAGGGTGGGCACAGTCGGAGGGAGGGACAGTGGGGAAAACCAAAGCCGCCCCAGATTCCCTGTAGCGAGGCCCCCCAGGTGCGCTCCAGCCCGAGGGAGCAGGCGTGGCCACTGCGGGACCTGTTTCCCGGAATGAAGACCCGGGGGTGCCCGGAGATCTGCTGGGCTGCGCTGGCCGGAGTCCTGCCGCGTCCCGATTCGGCCAAGGTCAGAAAACCAACTCAGGACCCTGTCCTGCGGGGTTTGTAAGGAGGTGGGTGTAGAGAAGGATTGTAGAGCCCTGGTGGCTCGGATCTGAGGGCTTGTGTTTTGCTTTGCTGGGAAAGCACCGTGTCTTAAGGCCAAGTGGCTCCTGGTGCCTGTTTCTGTAGATGAGCACATTCACCCGGAGGAGACAAAGATGAGGCTGTGGGTAGAAGCAGCTAGACGATTTGGAGTCTCAAAAGCGCCGCTGGTGTTTTGTGGTAGGAGTTGGAGAAATAGTAACAGCAAAAGCCCCCAGCCTCGCCCAGGTGCCCCAGGTGGGAAAAGCAGATGTGCCCCCTGCGGAACCTGAACTCCAGGGAGAAAACACTGGGGGCCGCCCGAGGTCTGCAGGGCTGCGCGGAAGGGAAGGTGTTTGCCCTGCTAGATAGAGTGTAGAAACTGGAGACCAGATCACCACTGCATGACAAATGTCATTGAATACGGAAGCTTTGGATAATGAGTTCTTGTTAATAGCTGTTTTCCTTGCAATCTGAGTCTCTTTTTCCTTGACAACGTCAGCACCCCTTTCACAGAATTGAGTAGTAAGTACTTTTCATTACTAGTCTCAGTTCGCCCGTCTAAACAGACGCCCGGGTTTTGTTGTTTTCTTTGCTCCTGTAAGCGAATACATTTTCTTTCCTCCTAAAAGGAGGTAAGGACATCGAGTGCAGATTTGCTAAAATACATTTCTGAGATTTTTCAGATGATTTTAGTTGTTTATTGGGGTGCAGTGGGTTTTCATTGGTGATGATGGTAAAGACATTTGGAGTTTAAGAATATTAAAAATCGGCTGGTGATGTCCCTTGGACTTGGCCGGTGAAGTTGCCTGGTGCCAAGCCTGCGGCTTGAGTTCTGCCACCAGATAGCAACAGAAGGCGCACCTCCAAGGCGTCCTCTGACCTTTGCCGGCTTGCACTGGCACATACAATAAACAAATAAAATGAAAAAATATTAAAATTACCTTGTGTTTTCCATTATGATAAGTTAGCACAGTGCCACTATGCAGGTAGTTACCGCACAGGGTTCCTGGAGAGAGGAAAATCTAAGCCATATCAGTAATGCTGCTTGCCAGAACTCCCGATTCTGCCAGGGCTTGCTTAAAGTGGTAGCAGGAAATTTCCCTTTTGAACTGTTTTGGGCATTCATCAGCAGTTGAACTCAAATTCCCCGTGCCAAAACCTGCTATAGAGACAGTGCCTCTTTTTTCCAGAAATACAATGGAACAGCTCTGGAAGTTAAACTGCTGGACAAGCATCACACGGGAGAAATATGAAGAGTAAAATCGGTGCAGTCGTCTTGCAGCTGTGTATGTGGGCGCTTGCGCTGTAAATTCAAAGGGTGGTTTCAAAGGTTGATGAGGCAGATGCATTTTTCAATCCTGATGTTTTTGTTGTTGGGACAGGATCTCAATTAGCCCAGGCTGGCCTTTAACCCCTGGTCTTCTTGCCTCCACACCCTAAATGGTGACATTCTAGGGGGTCAACCACCCCACAAAGCTCCTTTCCTGATGTCTTTGGCCTGGGATTGCTGCTCCGTAGAAGTGAATTTCACCAGTGCTGTCTTGAAGCGACTGTGCTGAGGAAGTCTCACAGCTTCCTTAGCCTCTGGCTGCGATTCCTGCTAGATGGAGTTACTTACATGGGGACAACTTGGTTCTAACATTGACTTCTTTCTTTCCTTTCTGGTCACTTTTAAGTATCAGGTAGAGGAAGAAGGTAGGGAGACTGACTTTAGTCATAGGACTCATTGTGGAAACGGTGGAAAGGCATGTTTTCAGACGTTTATAATAGATAGAATGCATAAGGTATTTTTAATTGTGTGCATGCACGCATATAATTTTAAAGACCAACGTTGATTAAATTGTGATACTCCATTTGTGTTTTGATTGAGAAATAAAGAATTTGAAATAGTTCAGGCAAGCATTCTTTTTTCCCCTTTTATGTACAATTACCAATATATTTGAGATTGTTATGTTGTATATCTAGGATTCCAAACGTATTATTTATCTTTATTTTCTTCCTTACCACAGTTCAAAGTTACCTTACTGTTAGTAGACTATGCCATATGCGTTTGTGTATATACTCTGAATTCCTTTTACTTTTCTGGGACATTTTTGTGTAGTAAAAACAGTAAAAGGGTGATTTCACTTTGAAAGATTAAATATAATTGTTTAAATGGCTTACTAATATTGGTTAGCTTAGATTTCTAATCCGCAGATTTACGAAACTCTCCCTGATTAGTAACAACTAGCTAAGTAACTGCTTTTTAGTGGACAGCTGAGAAGCTTATCCCAGCCCACTGCTGCTTGCTGGTTTGACAAAGGCAATGCTTGGGCATTTGTCAGGCTGTTTTCCATTCTGTTTAAGGGCACAGCTTTTTGTTTTGTTTATTGCTATTGTTTTAAGTGTTTACTGTCTCTCACACTTCTGTCGTTGTTCCCCCCCCCCCCATCTGCTGTTCTGTTCATGGTCATTTCTGCACCTGTTCCAAGATCTCTTGGTCTGATGGGGAGGGAGGGATGTTTTGGGGTTTTTTGTTTTGTTTTGTTTTTTTGTTTTTTCCAAACTTGAAACAGGGGGTGTCTTTCTTGATGTACAGAGATTTGTTTGGTTTGGGGTAAGGGTGTTTGCTTTTCTCTTGCTGTTTTTATCTTTGTTTGGGGGCTGCTTAGGTTTTGAATTGAGGGTCTTATGCAAGCTAAGACCTGGCTCCACCGTTAAGTTAGACTTCTGGCTTGTGTGGGGGTTTAATTGAGAGGTGTGTAACTTAGAAACACAGGTTGTCTTTGAATAGTTTTCCTGAGGCTCTAAAAGGGATCTGTGTGGTTTAGATTTGGTGTGGTTGGCAAAGGAGATGGAACCACTTAAATCTGTTTGTCTAGGTGGTGCTGACCGAGTTCCGGAGCTGCCCACACTGAATCTCAGCCAGCAGAATGCTCGCCAGCAAGCGTTCCTCTATAACTGCTCTGCTAACTTTCTGAAGTGACAGTGTTGATAATATGAGGGAAGGTCACACTGATGTTTATATCGGCTCAAAGGAACTGTCCGCTGGTACTTTAATTTTATCACTCACTAATATATCTTGTGAGCATTTCTTCTCTGATGAGAAAGCAGTTGTGTTTATCATTTGATTTTTTTGAGGGTTAGAGAGAAGCATAAGAGAAGGGCCAGAGAATTCTAGAAGAGCTATTTCAGTCGTTTGTCTGCTGTCCTGTTACTTTAAGGTGGGTATATGCTTGCTAAGTAAGTGTGCATGAGCTAAAGTCACCCACACAAACTTATTTTTTTATTTTTCACACATATTGCTTTATCTGTTAGAAGTAATAATTACTGCTGTGCCAATCACATCCATCAGTGATTAATAATTCTAATAATGCCACATTATGTTAGTTTGACATTTCTCTTTGCTGTCACCTATAAGACATATTTTTATTGAAACCTGTGACTCGGGGGGAAACGGTCTGAAACATTTGTTTTGGGCCAGGGAGATGGCTCAGAGGATAAAAGGGACTTGCTGCCAAGACTGGTGTTTTGTCCCTGGAGGCTACATGGCGGAAGGGGAGAGCCAGCTCCCTTCAGGTATTTCTCTGACCTCCTCGTATGCGCCAAGGAACTTGCACTCCACGCCCTTGTATAAGTAGATAAACCAATAGGTGTGAAAAATGAATAAAAGCAGGATAAGTTTGTTTGGGTGACTTTAGTTCAGGTTGCTCTGGGCCTTGAAGGACATGGTGCTGGAGGCGCTCTGATGAGGACTCCATGGCGGGTAGCACCAGGAGGACATGTGCGAGGGGACAAGTACACTCCTGTGCAGGGAGCCAGAGAGCAGAGTCAGGGCCGGCTGGGCCTTCCAAGTAAGTTGTTCTATTGGGAGCTAATGGGCTGCCAAAGTGTGACTTGAAATTTTTATGAGTCCAGTGTGGGGTTGAAGGTCTGTAAGCACCCTGGAGAATCGCTAGTGTGAATCTCCATTCAAAGGCTAAAGAAGCTGGGGTCTGGTGTTCCCTGGATCAGGAGGAAAAACATGCCCTTAAGAAGAGGGCCTAGCTTATTAGATGATGTCAACCATACTTAGGATGAGTCTTTTGCCCTCCATTTGCTGACCAAGCACTAACTCGTTTCTCATGGTCTCTGAAGACATCCTCACAGATACACCCAGAATGTGTGCTGCCAGTTTTCCGTGTATCTCAAAATTTGGTCAAAACATTTTATTACTTAAGAAAAAATTGCATGCAGTGTATTTTGATCATACTCAACCCCTCCTCCCCCACACACACTCTTCCTCCTAACTTTTCTAAAATCTACTTCCCAGTCCCCACTTTTGCCTTTATGTCATTTTCCCCCCTTGACCATTGTTTCCAATTTATATCATCCATCAACTCACGGATGTGGGGCCTTCCTGAGCATAGTCAACAGACCAGCTGCTACACCTGTAAAGAAAAACTGGCTCTCCTTCTCCCAGAATCCACCAGCTGTCCGTAGCACCTCAGGAGTGGGTTGGGGGAGTTCCCATCAGCCCTTCCTTCCTAGAATGGTGACTGGTTTGGTCTTGTGCAAGCAACCACAGCTGTTGTGAGTTCGAGAGTGCAGCAATGGTGTCAACTTTAGAAGACACTGTTTCCTGCCACTCCTCCCCAGCGAGTTCGAGAGTGCAGCAATGGTGTCAACTTTAGAAGACACTGTTTCCTGCCACTCCTCCCCAGTATGGGCTCTTAAAGTCTTTCTGCTCCATCTTCTTGGATGGTCCTTTAGGAGAGAAGTGTTTTCTGAGTGTCCCTTTGATCGGTTGTGAGTTTCTGCATCAGTCACTGTCCACACACAAAGCAACATCAATGAGGTCTGAGAGCGGCACTCATCTCTGGGTATGGAGATAGGACTTTCCAAGGCAGTCTCTGCGGACAGAGTGTGTGTGGGTGGATTCAGCAATGGGGTCTTACCGTAGAGTTCTAGTAGGCAACCAAGAGCAATCACAGCAGCCTGTATTGTGTAAAGAGTTTCTGGTACACCCCTGACAGACAGCCAGGGGAGGGGTAGAGGGTATCCTACACCCAGCCACGAACTTTTATTTGGCTACATATGGCTTCCAGAAGCATCAGCATCTCCTGTGTATAATTTCTCTCTCCCTCTCTCCTCACTCCCAGAGGATATTATATGTATTAGGTAGTTTGTATGACTTTTTCAAACATCCTTAGTGTTAGTTATCCCTCTCCCTACCCCCTTCTCCCACCTATCTCCCATCCTCATCAGGATTTCTAAGGGAGTTTTTTTTGTATTGCATCTTTCTTTGACTGTCTTACCTGCTGACCAGGATAATAGCCCTTCCCACCCTTAGCTGAAAGTTATCGTTTAAAGTTTGTGGTGTGGGCTAGAGAGATGACTCAAGGTTAAGAGCATTTCAGAGGTCCTGAGTTCAATTCTCAGCAACCACATGGTGGCTCACAACCATCTGTAATGAGATCTGGTGCCCTCTTCTGGCCTGCAGGCATATATGCGACAAAACACTGCATGCATAGTAAGTACATTTAAGAATAAATAAATAAAATTTGCGATGCATTTCTGCATATATGAACTCCAGCTGGCTTTTTTTTGTGAATGTTGATGCATTTTGGCGGGATTAATTGATACCATCATATCCACAGGCCCTGAAAAGATAGATTTTTTTAACTCATTTTTTTATTATGAAATAAATTTCAACTGTTTGTTTGAAACAGTGTTCCACTGTGTCTTCTAGACTGATCTGAACTGAATGGAAATGATTCTTCTTACTTCATTGTCCTCAGTAGCTAGCACTACAGACACAATCCTGGTTTGTGTGGTTGAGAATAATATAATACCTTTTTCCAGCATGGAGTGGGAAGGGGTGCATCAGTCCCCAACTGAGGAACTCTGGACAACAACAGATGGCCTCTGGGGGAGGAAGAGTCAGTTTAAGAGACTGGCTCCCGGTAGGTCAACTGCGCCCCTACCCGGTGGACCAACACCCAGGAGTACATTGAAGTTGATGGGCCACCCAAGTATAGAGCTGGGATGTAGGGTGGACCTTGGAGACATTGGTAGGAAGAGTTAGGTGAATATGACAAAAATACACTGTATGAAATTCTTAAAGAATGAATAAAAATATTTAAAGTAAAAAAGAAATCCTGATCCCAAATAGTGTCTTTGTTAAAGTTGGCTACTCTTTGAGTATAGAATTATTATAAATATTCTAGCAACCGCTGTTTTCCCTACTTCCGTCCTTAGGAGAGGCAGTTGTTCTTGTTGACAATTACAGTATCTTGTCTTTATAACGGCTGAGTTGGCGAGGAAAGGATCTCTACTTCCAGAGTGGGGCCTGAATGACCAGCGTTTGTGTGGTCACGGCTGAGTAGCATGTACCGTGTGACCTTGCTTCATGCCTGCCGAATCAACATGTTCATTTTGGCAAGGCCCCAAGGTGATAGCAGGTTAAATCGGAGATACATGTGTTGTTGGTATATGCATATTATCAACTGTTATAGAATTCAAACACTGTGAAGGGGGTAGGTAAATTATTTGATTCAGCATTCTCAAGAATAGAATGTGGAGTCCGTACACATACATGCCTGCGCGCACACACAATGTCAGACTCTTTATGGCATCCGATGATGTATTAGCAGTGTTTTGAATTATTGACTATAACCTTGTCTTTGCTCCCACCCCTAGGTACATCAATTTTCTTCAAGGAATTCTGCTATTGCTCTGTCTTTCCCTGTGACTGAGGCCTTTGGCATTGCAGTATGCTATCGGCGGCCTTAATTACTTTGGCCAGAAGTGGCGGGAACCAGGTGAAGAAAAGAGTGTTGCTAAGCTCCGTCTTCCTGCAGGACAACAGGCAGGTGACTCCTGCCTGCTACAGCTCCACCACCGAGCCCAGGTGTTCTCGATTTGACCCCGATGGAAGCGGGCAGCCAGCCACTTGGGACAACTTTGGGATCTGGGATAACCGCATCGATGAGCCAATTCTGCTGCCACCTAGCATCAAGTATGGCAAGCCAATCCCCAAAATTAGCCTGGAGAACGTGGGCAGTGCCTCCCTCATTGGCAAACGGAAAGAAAATGAAGATCGGTTTGGGTTCGCACAGCTGACAGAGGAGGTGCTGTACTTTGCAGTATACGACGGGCACGGGGGACCGGCAGCTGCTGACTTCTGTCACACGCACATGGAAAAATGTGTGACGTATGTATGACGACCTTGGTGTTGCAGTTGCTCTAGGCTGTTGAAATAGTCTCCCTGTGGCTGAGATAGCCAGTGCAGACCAAATTCCTCGAGTGCACACGTGCCACGGCATCAGTGTGTGCGGTAGTAAGCGTGGCCTGTGTACCCGTTGGCCATTTGAGAAACGCGGTTGAGAATCTGCGCCTCTAGACTACCATTTCCAGTAAACTATAAAGTACAAAGATAACTTGTGAGAAATTTTACTCATGTGTGTGCTCACCTGTGTTTGTGGTAATTTGTGTGTGGAGTGCGTGTGTGTGTGTGTGTGTGTGTGTGTGCAGGCATGTGTGTGTGTGCATGCATGTGTGTGCGTGCGTGCACCCATCTGTGTGTGGAGGCCAGAAGTTGACATCAATGTTTTTCCATATTGTTCCCTACTTTACATTTTGAGATTGAGTCTCTTGCTGACTGGAGCTCACACTTTTTTTGCTAGACTGGCTGTCCCATGAGCCCTTTGGCTTCTGTGTAAAGCTGCATGTTGTCTTTAGATGGAAGGTAGGGATTTGAACACAGGTCTTCATGTCTGTACAGCAAACACTTTACCCATGGAGCTATACCTTTGTGTTCCTGAAGAAGTATTTACTCTTGTCGGCACAGAGAAGTTTACTTATTGTCTTAGTTACTTTTCTGTGAAGACACATAGTGACCAAGCAACTTATAAAAGAAAGTTTATTGGGGACTTGCTTACAGTTTCAGGAAGTTAGAGTCCATGACCATGATGGCGGGCAACATGGCAACAGCCAGCAATAGCTGAGAGATGATATCCTTATCTACAAACGGGAAGAGAGAGAGAGAAAGAGAGAGAGAGAGAGAGAGAGAATGAGAGAACGAGAACTGGCTAACTCAGAATGGTGTGGGGTTTTAAAACATCTTAATCCTTCCCCCTCCCCCCCCCAAAAAAAAAACAGTTCCACCAGCTAGGGACCAAGCAGTCAAATACATGAGCCCGTGAAAGCCATTCTCACCCAAAACACTCATGTTTTTGAGACTCACACCGCTTCTAGAATTAAAGAGAGGAGACAGTGTGGCAGTCATAGCCATGGGCTACCGTTTTACCTTCCAATGTATAGTTAGAGGCAGTTTGTCAGTTGAGTTTTGCCTGATTTACCTCATTCTACAAACTCAGCGATTTAAGTCAATCGGGGTTGCACTACTAAGAATTCTTTAAGAACAGGAAAGGACTTGGGGATCGTGAGAAGGCTCAGAAGATAAGGACCTGAAGCTCTTTCTTTTTTTCCAATTGAGACAAAGACCCAACCACTTAAACTATATCTTCAGACAGCCTTGTTTCTTTTTTGAGGTAGAGTGCCACATCCTAGGCTGGGCTAGAACTGATTATTTAAAAACAAAGATGACCTTAAACTTCTGATCCTCCTGCCCTCACCTCCTAAGTCTTAGTATTACTGGCGACCACCAGCACCACTTCCCCCCGACTTAGATTCTCATGCCTTTGCCTTTAAGAAGCCTCGGGTTTAATGTAGCTCAGTTACTCCTACCTAACAGGGAACTCTGAGTTGCCTCTCCAGCACCACATACCTAGAGCATGATGGCATGAGCCTCAGCCCAACAGTGACAGACTTCACAATACTTAGTGCATTCAGAGACCTCAGTTCTTGAATTCTCAGCGAAAGCGTCTGAGAGGAAAGCGTGAGGCCTGTTGTGTGGAGTGGCTGCTGGAGCACTGCCTGAGAAGAGACAACCACTGCAGAGTGATCGCAGCTTTCTTTCCTCTCCCCAAAGGGATCTGCTTCCTCGGGAGAAAGACTTGGAAACAGTCCTGACCATGGCCTTTCTAGAAATTGATAAAGCCTTTTCCAGTTATGCCCACCTGTCTGCTGATGGTAAGCCAGTCAGGGCATGCCTCAGAGCCTTAAGGATTGGTGGGGAAAGGGGAAAGCGAAGGGGAAGGTCTTCAGTGGTGGGAATGTTGTTGTATGTTTGCTTGTGGGGAGTTTTTACAGAAATAATTTTATACAAAGAATCCTTTTCAATGCTGTTTAGAATCTGGACTGATGTCAGGGTCCCGCTTTTATGTTCGATAATGACCTTTCAGAAGGGGACGCTCCAAAATGGTTGTTACTGAATCTTAATTTGAAAAAGATTTTAAAATGTTTCAATCTATGTGATGAATAGTTTTATGGACAAGATGTCCGTACTAAGAGGATCTCATCCCCTGCCAGACCACTAGTTCAAACACTGAAGGATAATCCCATCTGCAAGGTTAATAATTGTTCAGCATTTACTTTAGGGAATCAGAGAGAGGGATTCGTGGGTAAAGGTGCCTGCCACCAAGCTTTATCACCTGAGAGTTCTAGCCCCAAGACCCACATGGGGAAAGGAAAGAAGCAATTTCCATATGTTCGCTTCTGACCTTCACACATGAGCTATGGCATGTCTGTGTGCACTTAAAAACAAACACATACATGCACACACAAAATAAATGAATATATATATATATATATATATATTATTATTATGTATACAACATTCTGCCCGCACGCCAGAGGAGGGCGCCAGATCTCAGTACAGATGGTTGTGAGCCACCATGTGGTTGCTGGGAATTGAACTCAGGACCTCTGGAAGAGCAGTCAGTGCTCTTAACCTCTGAGCCATCTCTCCAAAAGAAGAATATTAGCAATAAGTCCTAAGTCTGGCAGAAAATGACTGATTGGCACCCATTTGTATAGTCAGAAGGAAGATATTTGTCTTCTCTTTCTCCATCTTGCAGATTTCCTATGGTAACTAGTGATATTTTTGGTTTTGTTAAGTATAAGGACATGACAAATGTATTTAAAAAAAATCCATGTACTGTGCTAAGTTTTTAAAGTAAATGTTTTTTGTTTTGACTAAGTTTATCAAAATAATTTCAAGAAAGTATATCCAATATTTTCTAGTTAGCTCACCAAAAGTGCATTGATAATAAAGTTAATTTTGCAAGCGTCTGCAGCAGCCATGTAATGTGTGCTCCTGGCTGACAGGCTACAGCATTGTGGGGGAGTGTTGCTCTTAGTTCTCTTAACTTTTAACAAGCAAAGCGCCCCCCAGGAATGCCATTTTCAGCCAGACGGAGATTCTCCCCATTTCACACACAAGGAGCTCCAACTCATAGAGAAGAAATGGTTAGTGGAGATTAGGACCTTGTTCATTAGCATATTTAATAGCAAGATGGGGGAAAGTGTACCATTTAAATATCAGCCTCCCCACCACCATCCCTGTTGAACCCAGGGCCTTGGAACATGCCAGCCCCTGCCTTCTACTGGGAGATGCTTACCATCACACTCCCCAGTACACTTGACGGTCCATTTGTCTGCACATGTAGTTTTCACTTGGTGAGTTATTTGAAATCATTTTGTCTTCTTCCTTTTGCGCCCAAAGTTATCTCCCCTTCCTTTAGTGGGGACTTGACAGAGGGTGCGGTTTCTGCTTAAGATTTAGCTTTTGTTCTCCTAAGGAGTAAAACACATAAAGAGCAAGTGAAACAGTTTCTCATGGTTTTACTTTTTGGGGGGTGGGGACAGAGTCTCAATTAAGCTTCCCAAGCTGGTTTGGAGCTGGCCATGTAGACCAGGCTAGCCTCAAACTCACAGAGAAAGGTATGCGCCACCACACCCAGCATTTTTAGAATAACAGCTGTATTTACTGCCCATGACTCATAGAACACAGTGTCCCAGAGCATTGGCATATGGCCAACACTAAAATTCATTAACCCTTCATGAGTGCAATCAAGCTTTTTTAAAATGATATAATCAATGCTGGTGATTAAAACCATCAATATTAAACTTGGTGTCGAATTTAAAAACATTTACCCTTAATAATTATAATTCAGGAGATGGAATTTATAACATTTAACTTGTATGTATATTTTTAATAATCATAATTCAGGAGACTTTGAATTTGATTTGTACATCTTCTAGAGACTTTTTAGATGACTCGTACAATCCAGTTGTTAAATAAATAAAATATCATTTATTTCTAATAACCAAAGTAAGATATATTTTGCTACTTTAGTTGCTCATTCATCCTTTGGAATAATCTTAGAACTTCATAAAGATGTCTTAAAATTTATTATTCTTTTTAATGAAGAACTGATTAAAAGGGAACAAAATAGGATGGCACCCTGTGCACTGTTTAAGACAGGATAGTACCCAGTGCGCTGTTTAAAACAGGGTGGTACCCAGTGCGCTGTTTAGAACAGGATGGTACCCAGTGCACTGGTAAGAACAGGATGGCACCCTGTGCACTGTTTAAGACAGGATGGTACCCAGTGCGCTGTTTAAAACAGGGTGGTACCCAGTGCGCTATTTAGAACAGGATGGTACCCAGTGCACTGGTTAGAACAGGATGGTACCCAGTGCGCTGGTTAGAAAGTGTTTAGAAAGTGTTCTGTGTACTATTGTGCATATCATATGCTTCTTAAAAACCAGAGTTTGAGAACTATTTTAAAGATATATTTATAAATATCTCTCAGATGGCAAAATAAAGTTACTAAAGACAGAATACTATGTGCTAGTCTTTCCGGATCAGATTAAATGGAAATTAGACCTGTCTCACATAAGGTTTCAAAGTTATCCAAATTTAATTTTTTAATTGAAGTATTGAGTTGAAATACTATTTTAATGTTTTTAAAAGGTATTTTAAAGGTAGATAGTACACTCTTTTTGGTGTGTGTGTATTGAGCCAGAGCTAGCTGGCAAACATTCTCAATGACCAGGGTTACCCTTGCTTGCTGTCTTTCCTCATTTCTTTGTATCTCCCCTACTTTCACTTCCCCCGAACCCTTTCTGTGAGACAAGGGAGTGGGGATTATTTTTTAGCAGACCTCATACACCGAGACAAGTGTTCCACCACTGAACTAGCCTTCCAACCTTTTAGCATCATCTTCAAAATTTTAAATTCAATTTATGTCAGTCTTTTACATTTAGTCAAACCAAGCAATGAGTTAAAATACCCTCCCTTCCTTTTTTTTTTTAACAAATAACCATTTAAAACAAAACAGATGGTAGGCAAAAAAAGTTATACATGTCAAGATCACCGATTTTAAATAAATTTTGCAGCAATATTAGTTTATAAGGATTATTCTTTACGCAGCTTAATAATCACTGGGGGTGGCATTAGATTTTACTCTTTTTGTTGCTGTTCCAAATTGTGGTCATTTTCCTTCTCTTCTATCGTCCTGCAGCACTGCGGAAAGAGAGAGAGAGAGCAGCAGAAACACCTGCTTTAGATTGCATCAAGTTACAAACATGATAAAAAATCTTATCATTCAAGAGCCACACTGGCCTTCATATAAACATTGAATTTAAGTCCTCCAACTGGAAACAGTTCTTTCCGTACTTAATTCTTACATTATATGCTATGAACAAATGGCTTGTGTTCTGTTTCTGGCATAGGGGGTGTTTTGATTGCCTCTCCATGTAAATTGAAACCCCCGTCAGCTGGTGTAAACTATAGTACTTCTATGTACTGATTATCGAATATAAATTATTTTGTTTAGGGGACAGTTCTAATATTGCTATGACCCAAATTTATACTTCATTGTTTTCTGACCCAATAAAAAGACTGAATTTGCTATCTTCAAGATTAAGTGTGTGTGCACGCATGCGCGTGCGTTTGCGTGTACACTCGCAACACACATATGCAGATACATGTCTGTGTCAGCACTGGTGTTTTGGTACAGATGCATACGTGCGTCCTTTTTTTCTATCTTAGAGTTTCAATGCTATGAGAGATGTTAGTCTGATGGGAAAAACAGACACTATTAACTTGAAGCCGCTGAGTGTTGAAATCATTGATGTAGCATCTCCTGCTATAGTATGTGATTTGCGAGGGAAATGTCCCCTACTGGAAACCCTCCTCCTTATTTTGCAGCTCCCTCTCTGCTCCCCTTTGTGTTACAGGATTGTTGTGTTTGAGCGTAATTTCTGGGTGAAATTCCCCTTTGCCTCTGTGCGTGTTGTTTGTGGCAGAGAACTGTGCCTCCTCAGCAACTCTAGACCTGGAGCCTGTGGACTCTCTCTGCTGGGCTTCAGCGGAAAGAGAGAGCTGTCTCGGGTGAAAAGAGTCTCGCAGTGCCTAACCCAAGCTGCTGGGACATTTCTATTTCCTCCTTGTCCCTCTAGTGAGAGGATGTACGGTATAAAGTATCCAGTGAGTGTTAAGTCTTACTGACAATGTCTTAGTTTTCTAGTTTTGTTGTTAGGGCAGACGATGATGATTGTTACCTCTGTGTTAACTGTTACATGGAAGTGCTGATTCACTAATTTATATTCTTAGATGCATATCAAGCCAGAATCAACGGTTAGTTTTGAAACCTTCCCCATATATCCTGAGATTTTGAAACTGGGAAGGTGAGTTGATAAAAGCCCAAGGTCTTTTAAATTCAGAGGTGAGAGAGCTGGGAACTACAGCCCAAACTGAAATTTCATTTATACATGCTAATTCTTTTGTCGTCTTCAGTTAAAGATCACGTGATGAAAAGCTGTTGATGAGAGCTAACGTGAAGAGTTCATGATTCCCTGGGCTGGTAGCATCTAATGCATGCCTGACTTCTTTTAAAGCCATTTGAAAGTAGATCATATAATTGACTGAACTGTATATAGTCTATTGTTGTATAGACTTTGACTAATATCAGGTTGAAAGTTGCAACGCTTGTAAGATAAGCATCACTGGTCCTTATGTTAAAACATTTCTGTCGTGTGCTGACATACATCTCAACGTTGCTGTGATATGACAGCATTGCTTTGATCTAATGGTTCCAAACTCAAGAGATAAATGGGAATACAGTGCAATTGTAGATGCCGTTTCTCAGTGAACTTAGCGTGACCACAAAAGACTGAGTAGACTTTATCCATGCTTTTCCATTTACTTTCCTGATTAAAGCAGGCATTTTAATATAATGACTGGAAAATGTATTCATCGCTTTCCAAAATGCGTTATTTGGTGAAGTTTGAAAAGTTGTCCCTAAAAAACATCTTGGAAAGACTTGTCATTTAAATCAATTACAGGTTTTTAAATCAGCTAATAGCGTACAAGTCGCCTTTGGAAGGTCAGGAAGCTGTCTACAAATATTACATAGAGCAACAATCAAGTGATTGGATATAGAATTCGTACTGCAAAAAAAAAACTAATCCAATTAAACTTTTGACAATGCTTTATAGGATTAGCAGTATCACTAGAGATAATTCCTGCTTTAAATGAGTTACTTCTCAACTTCCTCCACTTCGCTGTATTGTCCTTCAGTTCATAGTTTGATAGTCATTCCACTCTCCACAAGGCTCCACGCACCTTCTACTAGCGGTAAACAACACAGAACAGGTGATGTTATAATAAATCAAAGGAAGACGCACAAAGGTGATAGGCTTGGGGAGAAAAAGAGCAGCAGCCTCAAGCCTAGTGACGCTGGGCTTTCCTCGATGGCAGAAAAGATGTACATTGCTGACATATTCCTGCCCAGGCAGGGCTGCAGGAGTCGCAGCTGGCCATGCTCATCTGCTTTGGGCTGCAGATTCTGTTACTGGATACTTTTGGAGCTAATCGTGTTGAGTATGTCATGTTGATGAGGAACTGGCATGAATTTCATTTTTACCATTCAGATCTAGAATCTAAGGTGTGTGTGTGGGGGGGGGCGGTAACTTTTCTTCAGGCATAGAGCCAACAAAGATCAAAACCAGAAATGGATATGGTTCTTTAACTGTGTGCATGTGTGTGCGTGTGGGTGTGAACATTTATAAATTGTAGTTCTAGCAGGTAAAAAATGTCTTGAAGAGCAAATGGTTTGGACTTGGCATTTCTCTCCTCCCCTGCTAACTAGTACTGCTTTGACTGGACAGGAGTGATGAATGAAAGAGAATGATCCAAATCTCATGATTTTAGAAAGGCGGCCCACCTACTGGGCCCGGCAGATCTGCCATCTGCCATAGCAGCCAGATTAGTGGCATTTCCGTGTTTTGTTTTGACACCTGCTATGCACACGAAGGCATCATCATTGTGATGCTTTTTACACAGAGACCGTTTGGAGACACTGATGCTTTGCTCGCCAAGTTAGCTTGCCAATCTTTCTGTTTGCATGGAGCCTTGTAACTGAATTAAATAATTAATTGTTTCTCTGCATGGTCTTCCTTGGTTTGTTGGCAGGGCATTTGCATAGCTCTTGTTAAATTAGACCGGTACCGGCCAGCCTTCGGTTACAATGCTTCTGTTTTATTCTTAGTAAAAATCCCATATCTGTCGCTAACTGATACTCTGTTTTGTAATATTTGTAGCAAGCCTCCTGACCTCTGGGACTACTGCCACGGTAGCCTTGTTGCGAGATGGTATTGAACTGGTGGTAGCCAGTGTTGGAGACAGCCGGGCTCTTTTGTGTAGAAAAGGAAAACCCATGAAGCTGACCACTGACCATACCCCAGAAAGAAAGGATGAGAAAGAAAGGTACTGCCGCCATGACCAGACATTTTATGGGGTGATACCTGTAGTTGCCATAGAAATGAAACGTGGCATTCCCTCTGCTGGCATAAAACCCCAGGGCCTCTTTGCAAGCATTGCTGTGCATAGCCACTACCTCGGGCCAGATTTTCTTGTTTGGGGTGGTTTGGGTTTGTCGAGACTGGAGCTCACCATGCAGCCTAAACTGTTTTCTCCTTTCTCAGCCTCTCAAGTGCTGGGCTATCAGGGTGTGTACACCATATGTGGACTAAGTCTTTCATTTTTATCTAATTTATTTATGGACTTAAAAGTTTTGGCATTTACCATGGGCTTACCTTAAACTCGAAATCCTCCTCAGCCTTCCTGAATTCTTGGATTATGGGTATGGGCTGACATAGAAGGCTCCGGATTTCAATTTTTAAAGTTGGTATTTAAGCCAGTGCTTTAATTTCCTATATTATTGTCATCATCATCATTGTCATTAATTTTATCTTTTCCTAACTAGGATCAAGAAATGTGGTGGGTTTGTGTCTTGGAATAGCTTGGGACAGCCCCATGTAAACGGCAGACTCGCAATGACGAGGAGTATTGGAGATTTGGATCTTAAACCCAGTGGCGTAATTGCAGAGCCCGAGACAACGAGGATTAAGGTAAGAAGGGGTCAGAAACACTGGGAATGACCCGAGACTGTCCTGGAAGATTTACCTGAAGGAGATGTGTTTTTCAAGGGGGAACTAATGTGTGCAGAATAAACTTTCTAAGTGAGATGCTAGTTTCCACTCTGAGGAGGGTAATGTCTTTGGCTTTTGTTTTCCCCTGGCAGAGGGGCTCTGTGGCCATCCTTTCCGAAGCCTGCCAGACAGAGGCATTCTCTCAGCTCGGGAGTCATTCTTGGCCTCCCTTCTCCACTCAGTTCAACACTCAGTATAACGCCTCTTTTACTCTAAACTGAGCCCAGCATGATACAGGTCCCGCTGTTTGCTTCCCTAGAGCTCTTGAGTCAGCTTTCACAAATGGTAGGGCATGAATGTTCAGAATTCAAGGAAGGATTTCCGGCCTTAAAAAGATGTCTTATTCCAGGTGGTGGTAGTGCACGCCTTAAGTCCCTACACTGGGGAGACAGAAGCAGGCCCATCTTTTCAGTTTGAGGCCAGGCTGGTTTACAGAGCTAGTTCTATGATAGCTAGAACTACACAGAGAAACCCTGGCTCAAAAAAAAAAAACACACACACACACACACAAAAAAAACCACCTCATTTTGTGAAAAAGAATACTTACGTAGTATTTGCTTTGTGGCAACCTCTGTTCAAAAGAGATATAACTTTCTTCGCTTTAAAAGGAAGAGAAACAAATTGAGATAACAGGACAAGTTAAAGTAAAAAGAGGCTCACACCGTCGAGTGACGGAGGGGTCAGCCAAATAATACAAGCCGCATTTAAATCCAGACTCTCGGCATTTGGCTGTCTGGCCTCTTTCTTGGTATTGCTAGGTAAAAGTTTGGTTTGTCCCAGGTGGTATTGATTCTCAGCTACATTTTCAGTTTGCCCATGAACTCTGACCCACTTGGCCACTCTGCAAAATAGATAAAGTTTCCATGCTATTGGATCACTGGAAGACACAGCCTAGTCTTAATCACATCTGTTTGCTTCTGATTGCAGCTCTACCATGCGGAGGACAGCTTCCTGGTCCTCACCACAGATGGGATTAACTTCATGGTGAATAGTCAAGAGATCTGTGACTTTGTCAACCAGTGCCATGATCCTAATGAAGCAGCCCACGCGGTGACTGAACAGGTGACGTAGCGGAGCTTCTGGTGGGAAATTCCCAGAGAGAAGAGGATGAAGGACAGCAGAGGCCTCTAGTGTTTTAGCTTGAGTACAGTGAATTTGAACACAGGGTCTCTCGCGTGCTGGGTGAGCATTCTCCTACTGAGCAAGGCACAAAGCCTTGAGAAAAACAGAGCTCTGACTGTTTAGCTTTGTATCTTGTTGTTAGTGGAATCGACTTATAGGATGGGATTTTAGTGATTCATATTTCAGGACTGGAGAGATGACCCAGATTAAGAGCCCTGGCTACTCTTCCAGAGGTCCTGAGTTCAATTCCCAGCAACCACATGGTGACTCACAACCATAATGAGATCTGGTGCCCTCTTCTTGTGTGTAGGCATACACGGAGGCAGAACACTTTATACATAATAAATAAGTAAATCTTTTAAAAGATCATATTTCTTGTTTGTTTTTCCTCACTGCCTATTATTTTATCACTATTTTTAATGGTTACTTTAACAACTATACATAAAGTATAATGGTATATTTGATACATTTTAAACGTGTTTTTCTCATAGGATTTGTTTGTAAGCCTTTTATAATCCTTGAAGCTGTTCATACCAGACATCTTTTAACTCAGGCTGTGAGATCTTTTGATCTGTTTGATGCTAACTGCAACCCTAAGCCCTTCTGAACAGTACTGACTCACTATTTGAAATGGTTTACAGTCCTGCTGCAGGCACTTTAGTTAACGCCCACTTAACCATGGTAGAAGGAATACTACAAATGTTTTTGTACATACCCATTTCTGAGATTTTAGATTTTAAGTTAGCAAACCAAGGGGTAGGTTTCTAGTATTGTTTTCAGACAAGCATGTTATATTTTCTTCCTTTTTATTCCTCTCCAAAGCTCTTAAGTTCTTCAACTAAATTCCTACAGGCAATTTTGTTGGTAAGAATTAGCACTTATTAAGGCTTTTCCATGATTGGCACCATGCTAAGGGTCTTGGGTGTGTCCTATTTGGGAGCCACTCAGCAGTGTTTCTCAGTTTAAAGCTGTTTCAGTTGCCAAGATTGGTATAGTGGAGGATGGGAAATAGTTGGATAATCTATTGTTCATGTGCAGTTAATAACCATAGTGGAACATAGATACAGGGTTGAGACAGTCGCAAACTGTGTTAGATAATTGCATTTGTTAACTGTGTAGAACCAGTTGACTTTGTGGAGAAAGGATGCTGTCTGTTTGCACAGAAGTCCAACAACTCCAGCTCTTCGCTTTTCTCCTTCTCCCGGCTTCTGCAGGCTCTACAGTATGGTACCGAAGACAACAGCACTGCAATCGTGGTGCCCTTTGGTGCCTGGGGAAAATACAAGAACTCTGAGATAAACTTCTCATTCAGCAGAAGCTTTGCCTCCAGCGGGAGATGGGCCTGATCGCCAGCCTGGACTCAGGGTTCCTCTGCTGCAGGTGTCAGCGGGCATAGCAAGAAACTGGTAATACCCAGAAGGCCACCTGTCCCTGTGTGTCCCTGTGAACTGATAGATCCCAATGCAGTGTAAGCTTACCAGCCATGGGCACGGTAGTGTTTTCATAAACCCTCATCACTATGTGCAACTGTACATGCTCAGCGTAAGCCCCATGACAAAGCTGTGAAGCCATTGTGAGTCTCCACGCTGAGTGGGAGAGGAAGTGGTTTGGTACACTTGATGAATGGTAAATCTATGTGCTTTGTTTTGTGATGCTAGAGAGTGAGTCTGGGGCTTTCAAATCTTTAAGATTACCAAGCAGATCTGGCTTCTTTTTAATGAGTTCGTTCTTTATTCAGTTGGATAGGTTTTTCTGAATTTTGACAGCTAGTCAGTGCATTATCTTCAATGTTTCTCTTTTCTTTCTCTCAGTGTTTAGCCCTGCACTCCTTGGTTCAGTCAGTTTTCCTACTTCGGTTTCCTGGGTACCTGGGACTCCAGGATGCTCCAACTTACAAGTGTCTTTTTTTTGTTTGTTTATTTTCATTTTGAATGTTTTAGAGACAAGCATAGATTTACTAAAGAAAAGTACTCCCAGGAGATGCAGAAATTCCAAGGGAGGAATACCCACAAGTGTTATTTTTTAATAAATGTTCCAAGGAGTCAAAATGAAAAACTTTTCTGTTACTGTATCTTGTACTCTGGACCATTTATTAGTAAACTTAACCCTGCAAACTTCTTCAGACAAAAGACAGGACTGAAGTGTATCCGGATTTGTAAATAGCCCTCTTGTGTATTTGAACTCTTTTTAGCCCCTTCCCCATCCACTCCCATTTTTCTGCAGTTAAATGTGCCATATAGCTCCAACTGTTCCTTAATGTCCCAAGGAAAATGTACAGACTCCTTGATCAAAACATGTACAGGGAAACACGGACAGTGTTTCTGTTTCTTGATGGTGTATGTAAGTTTGTTGTTGTGTGTTTTGTAAACAGTATATTTGTATCACTTTTTCCCCGCACAAAGTAAGCTAGTTGGGTCATTTGTTAGTAAAGATAATGTTGCAGTGACTCACACTGCTGTAGACATAGCTTGAAGTTTATGTCTCCATTTTCCTCATTTCTGAGATTTATGAGGAAGAATAAATCTTTTAGAAAGTGTATTCAAACATGTCAATTTGCTAGGTAAATTAGGAATGTAAACCTACACTCCTTTTTTACCTGAATTATAAATTTGCTGTTAAACTGTGAATCCCTAAATGTGTGTTTGGAATTAATCTATAGTTTATTTTCACAAACTGTGTAAATTTGGTATATGTGTGGTGTGTGTGTAAATATTTTGAAGTAATATAACATTAAAGGGAGCAGACTTATGGAGCCTTTATGAGTTAGCTTTAAATTATTGATATATTTATCCCGAAGGACACTCAGCAGATCGAGTGGTTTTCTGTAGTAAACAATCAGTGGTTATTATTAGATAACCACTTGGATTAAAAATATATATGGGGGCCAGATGTGATGGCCCATACCTATAATCTCAGGACTTGGGAGGAAGAGGTAAGAGAAGGAGGATGGTGACTGAGATCAGCCTGGGGCTGCATAGCAAGTTCCAGGGAAGCTTGAGCCACAGCTTATCTCCTAAACCAAAATATCAACAACAAATGGCTATAAGATACATTGTATTATGCATAACTGATGTGGATAACCAAAGAACAGAAGCAGCCATATTGTATGGTAATTTGAATATAAAATTGTGGGATATGAAAAGACTAGGTAATGTTAAGGGTGACATGGAATTTTGAGGCAGAAACAAGAGAAAAAATAATGAAACATATATGCCTTCAAGTCTGGCGTGCTTTCTTCCTTTAATTTTTGTTTTAAATACCTAGTAGAAAGAAAATGTCCCAAAATAAATTTTTCATCTTCTTGTTTTTGGGAAATGGAAAAAAATATATTTTCATTTTACCTGCCTACCCTATTTAGAACAGTCTCAAAAAAGAATTTAAGGTCTTTTCATGGATGTTAGTCGGAAGGAGGAAAACATTTGCCAGGCATGTTAGTTTACATGTGCCGTTCCAACGGGTAGGAGACTGTGGCAGAGGAATCCTGTATTTGCTATGCATTGTATAACAAGACCCCGGCTCAGGAGACAAACAAAACCTACAGAAGGAGCAGAGTCTATGTGTTCACTGTCTAAAATGAAGAGGTGCAGGGAGACTAGCAGAGCTGAGGCACTTTCTTGTTGAATCAGGTGTTGGGACAGAATTATGGAAACAACTTTTAAGAGCATTGAGAACTTGTGAGCTAATGCGCGCATAAAAATGACAGCATTCTGTATGTAGCATTCTGATGTGTGGCATCCTGGTGTGTGGCGTCCTGGTGTGTGGCGTCCTGGTGTGTGGCGTTCTGATGTGTGGCGTCCTGGTGTGTGGCGTTCTGGTGTGTGGCGTTCTGGTGTGTGGCGTCCTGGTGTGTGGCGTTCTGATGTGTGGCGTTCTGATGTGTGGCGTTCTTGTGTGTGGCGTCCTGGTGTGTGGCGTTCTGATGTGTGGCGTCCTGGTGTGCGGCGTTCTGGTGTGCGGCGTTCTGGTGTGTGGCGTCCTGGTGTGTGGCGTTCTGGTGTGTGGTGTTCTGGTGTGTGGCGTTCTAATGTGTGGCGTCCTGGTGTGCGGCGTTCTGGTGTGCGGCGTTCTGGTGTGTGGCGTCCTGGTGTGTGGCGTTCTGGTGTGTGGCGTTCTGGTGTGTGGCGTTCTGGTGTGTGGCGTTCTGGTGTGTGGCGTTCTGATGTGTGGCGTTCTGGTGTGTGGCGTTCTGATGTGTGGCGTCCTGGTGTGTGGTGTTCTGGTGTGTGGTGTTCTGGTGTATGGCGTTCTAATGTGTGGCGTTCTGATGTGTGGCGTCCTGGTGTGTGGCGTTCTGGTGTGTGGCATTCTAATGTGTGGCGTTCTGATGTGTGGCGTCCTGGTGTGTGGCATTCTGATGTGTGGCGTCCTGGTGTGTGGCGTTCTGGTGTGTGGCGTTCTGATGTGTGGCGTCCTGGTGTGTGGCGTTCTGGTGTGTAGCATTCTGGTGTGCAGCGTTCTGGTGTGTGGGCTCCATTTCTTCTCTGAGTTCTTTGCATTACTGCTGCTCCTTCCCCACACCCTATACCCCTCCCCCAGTTTGTTTTTTTTTTGTTGTTGTTGTTGTTTTTTACTTTGAAACCGGTTTAGAGTAAACTGGTGGAATTCAGAGACCTGAGGGTCATTGATAGATTGAGGTAAATTTAGATTTGACAAGGAGGAGTCTGTGGATAATGGCCTTGGGTGCACTTGACCCTGTTTCTTCTGGAAAAGACTTTTGGTGCTGGTGGTGAGGTTTAGTGTGTGTGTGTGTGTGTGTGTGTGCATATGTGTGTGTATATACATGCATGTGTGTATATGTGTGTGTGTGTATTTGTATCTATATGTATTTATTTTTGGAAAGACTTGTCTTAAACCCCTGAGTGCTGAGATTATAAGCATGTGCTTCCAGGCCTAGTTTTACCTGGAAGAAACTGAAAACCCTGATCAAATCATCCTTGATAAAGGATAGAAAGTGCTGGTCTCCATAGGGGCTGGGCTGTAGCCTTTCCTGCAGCCTTTCTTAACATATATTTGTTGAGAACAAACCTGAATAAACTACAAGTCAGTATGAAAAAAAATACATGTGTCTATATTTTCTAAGTCTCAATATTAAGATATAATTTAAAGAATATAATTATAATCCTATGTATACGCGTGCCCCTGTTCTTGCAAATGGTACAATAGTGGAAAGAAAGGGACTGGTCTTGCATACTTTTTAACTATGAATTTTGCTGGGAGTTTGCATGTGGGTCTAGGCTTGGTATAAATGATAAAATACAGAAAGTGTAATGGTTGTGTGTATGTGTGTGCCTTTCATTTACATGTGGTTTGTAAAAAAATCTCTTTTGTGTTGTGCCTCCTGTTATTTGGTGAAATGTTCTTTAAAGTATTGTGACATTTTACAATTATAAATTATAAATATCTTATCAATTCAGAAGTAAATGTAGCCCTGTTCCCTGCCAGCTGCTCACTTGTCAGAATTCTTTGTGTCTCTTGACTGCTTCAAATCCAGGCATTTTTCCCCCTTAGGGTTGAAAGATCCTTCGGGAGGGATCCATTTTGCTTCTATGTACTGTATGATATGAACCTTCCCATATTACAACACTTAAATTTTTACTTTGAAGAGGTAGTAGCACATAATCTAAAATACAGAAATTATTTGAGGTTTGAAATTATTTAAAATTTGATTATTAATTGTTAAAGAATGGATATAATTAATCTCGTAGTAATGGGAGAGTAAGAAGATGCTTCCGAGTGGGACCTGGGGAGTTCAAGTTTAGAATTAACAAGTGTAGCCAAGTGTTGCGTTTTCCTTTACTGCCAGGGTCCCCCACATGCCTGTGTCTATAAAACAGTGTCCTGAGAGTTGGGTTGTTACATTACATTGAATTTCTTGGCTTTCATTCTAGGAATGGCTTAAGCAGGAATAACAAGTCATGTTTTGCAAGGTAAATAAAGCAGAATGGTGACTTGCCTGCTGCATTTGACGGCTGGGAAAAGACCAGCTGGTTCTGTAACAGCTCCCATTGGCCGCTGGATGGTTAGAACATCAGGATGGAGTCCCGAATTCTGGGCTCTGAGAACTTAGATGTGTCCCACCACCAAGAACGACTGAGCTGACATTGGATTCTAGGGCAGAAGGCAGCACAGCGATGTGACCTAAATTAATTGAATTTCTGCTGCAGTTCTCTTGTGTGCATTTGTTTTGCAATTTCCAAAGTTCTGCTTGGTACAGTCCCTTGTAGCAAGTCTGGCTATTCTTGTAAATGTCTGTCTCAGTGGTAAAAACAGCCTAATAAAATGCGCATATTAAACTCCTCTGCTCCACTTCTGCTTATTTGGCATCCAGATTGTTCAGTGTTTATCGTGTCTGATCTGAATGGAATAAAGGATTTAGTGTCAATAAAGACTTGGGGACTTCCTTACTAGCTGTCTTTGGGTTTCTGTTGCTGAGAACAGACACCATGACCATGGCAACTCTTACCAAGAAGACATTTAGTTGGGGCTGGCTTACCATTTCAGAGGTGCAGCCCATTATCATGATGGCGGGGAGCATAGAGGCATGCAGGCAGGTGGGGTGCTGGAGCTGAGTGTGCAACATCTCGTAGGCAACAGGAAATCAACTGTAACATGGAGCAGGGCCTGCTTATTGTTGGGGTTTTTCTGTCCTGCCCGGTACCCCACAACTGTTTAGCCCCAAAGAAAATCACACATAGGTCTCCATAAATTATAAGCTGATTGGCCCATTAGCTCTAGCCTCTCATTGGCTAACTCTCACATCTTAATTAACCCATTTTTCTGATCTGTGTTAGCCATGGGGCTCAGTACCTTTTCCAGTGGGGCAGATCACATCCTGCTGCTTCGGTGGTCTGGGCAGGAGTGGGAGGAATCAGCTTCCGCCTTCCCAGAATTCTCCTGTTCTCATTACATCATTTCTACTTCCTGTCTGGTTTTCCCGCCTATATTTCCTGCCTGGCCAATCAGCATTTATTTATAACATGATTGACAGAATACAGACAATTCTCCCACACCATCAACTGACTGCCACACTGAGGAAACCTGAGCAAAAGAGACCTTGAAGCCCACCTGCACAGTGGCACGCTTCCTCCAACAAGGCCACCTCTCCTAATAGTGCCACTCCCTTTGGGGACCATTTCCTTTCAAACCATCAGTGTAGCCATATTTTAGCTATTTGCCAATTAATGTCAAGAGGCTGTAAAAGGAAAGAATTTTCTTTAATTTTTGTACTGAAGATTGAAGCTAGGTCTTCACAAAGTCTAGGCAAGCACCCTGCCACTGAGGCGAATTTTCGGGCCATTTTCCACCGCTTTTTATTTTGAAGCACAGTTTCAC